GATGAGTCATACAAAGGTGTCGACAAGCAACTATCTCAGTTATATAGTATAAAACACGCATACCACCTTACTCCCACCTGTATAAGTCACTAATAATTAGTGCCTTCTACTACTGATTGACTTATATTACATAACTGAGGTAGTTGCTTGTCGACACCTTTGCATGACTCATCGTTGATCCAGCGTCCTTGTAGTGTAGTGGTTATCACATCTGTCTTACACACAGAAGGCCCCTGGTTCGAGCCCACGCAAGGACATTACCATTCTCATTTATAGGGACGGAATCTGACATCCCCATTGAATAAATTAATGAAACGGCTTCGAACATACAGTATTATGTTAAAAGATAAATAGGTTCTCACGTCGAAAGGCTTCATAGGCCCAAGTAACAATAAATACGACTGACACTTTCAGATCAGCTGAACAGATGAGCTTCCTGCTTACGTGATACGTTTTGTTTTAACTGCTATTAAACTGGTCCAGCACGAGTTCTGACACATTGGGTTTGATAATCAGTCGCTGTAGGTTGGGCAAGTAACAGTTCTTAAGATTACGCAATCTTAAAGTATTTTTTGGAGACGGAAAGAGTAGATGTCAATAAAAGTGCACTGCAGATTGTGAAATGGCAATAGCAATGTCCTTGCCTGGGCTCGAACCAGGGACCTTCTGTGTGTTAGACAGATGTGATAACCACTACACTACAAGGACATTTGATGAATGATGAGTCATTCAAAGGAATCGACAAGCAACTATCTCAGTTATGTAAGAGATAGTTGCTTGTCGACACCTTTGTATGACTCATCGTTGATCCAATGTCCTTGTAGTGTAGTGGTGATCACATCTGTCTAACACACAGAAGGTCCCTGGTTCGAGCCCAGGCAAGGACATCACTATTGTCATTTACGTCAGCAATGCAGCAGAGTCTTATTGACATCTTCTCTTTCCGTCTGCTGAAGAGCTCTTTAAGATTGCGTAATTTTGAAGAGGAGATGTTAACTTCTTAATTTGCAGCGATTGACTATCAATCAGAATGAATAGTTAATGACATTGAAAGTCCCGACGGACTCGTTTAATAATGGCTAAAGCAAAAACCTTTCAATAAGCAGAAAGCTCATTTGATTGGCTGATCTGAAAGCGTCAGTGATATTTATTCTTATTTGAGCCTATGAAGACTTTGGACATGAAAACTTATTTATCTTTTAGCGTGGTACTGTGTATTCAAATGCGTTTTACTAGTTTACTGAATAGGCAAGTCAGATTCTGTCTGCATAAATAA